GAGCCTTTTTCCTCGGATGGTGATGGCTAGCACGAGGGGACATAGCTTTAAATTGAGGGGTGATAGATATAGGACAGATGTCAGAGGTAGGTTCTTTACTCAGAGAGTAGTAAGGGCGTGGAATGCCCTGCCTGCAAAAATAGTAGACTCGCCCACTTTAAGGGCATTTAAATGGTCATTGGATAAACATATGGATGATAATGGAATAGTTTAGGTTAGATGGGCTTCAGATTGGTTTCACAGGTCGGCGCAACATCGAGGGCCGAAGGGCCTGTACTGCGCTGTAATGTTCTATGTTCTATGTTCTATGTTCTAATCAATATTTAGCTGCTGTTTACGGATAACAATTGTAAACTTTCAAAGCACCTTTACAATAAAGGCCAAACAAAGCCCTGTATGTTCCAAGGAAGGGTCACCGGACGCGAAACGTTAACTCTGTTTTTTTCCTTCACAGATGCTGCCAGACCTGCTGAGCTTTTCCAGCAACTTTGTTTTTGTTCCCAGTATGTTTCGGCTGTTTAGCAGCACCCTGCCCATCCAGATACAAATTTATTTCCATGTGAGAATGGGGCTTTGAAACTAAACCAAAGTAAAACTAACTGCAGAACACACAGCAAAACTCCATTTCCAATCAGGGAATCTTGAGTGAAATGCAGATACCTAGCTATGGCATCAAGTCGCTCACGAGAGTTTGGAGATTGAGGGCCAGGGTGGAGACTGTGAAACAGTACAGTGGTCATTTAGTAAGTCAGACAGGTACAGCGCCAATAGCTGGGCAGTTCTGTTTTTTTAACCAATTACCTGCTCACTAGCACTAACCTCAGATGTCTGCCAACTCCATATTTAGAATACACGGGTAAAAAATACATAGTCAACTGTAAAACAATTACAGTCCCAACTCCGACAAATCCCCAGGGACATCCTATGGAGGACGTGCAAATTTCAACTATCCTTACACATTTAAAAGTAAGCTGGTGAAAGAATTTTTTCTTCTCAGTCACAGAGTTGTACAGCACGGAGACAGACCCTTCGGTCCAACTTGTCCGTGCTGACCCGATATCCTAAATTAATCCAGTCCCATTTGCCAGCATTCGGCCCATGTCCCTCTAAACTCTTCCTATTCATGTACTCATCCAGATGCCTTTTAAATGTTGTAATTGTACCAGCCTCCACCACTTCCTCTGGCAGCTCATTCCATACACGCACCACCCTCTGTGTGAAAAAGTTACTCCTTAAGTCCCTTTTAAATCTTTCTCCTCTCACCTTAAACCTATGCCCCTCTAGTTTTGGACTCCCCTACCCTGGGGAAAAGACCTTGCTAATTTACCCTATCCATTCCCCTCATGATTTTATAAACCTCTATAAGGTCACCCCTCAGCCTCCAACACTCCAGGGAAAATAGCCCCAGTCTATTCAGCCCCTCCCTGTAGCTCAAACCCTCCAACCCTGGCAACATCCTTGTAAATCTTTTCTGCACGTTCTCAAATCTCACAACATCTTCCCTTTAGCAGGGAGACCAGAACTGAACGCAGTATTCCAAAAGTGGCCTAATCAATGTCTTGTACAGCTTCAACATGACCCTCCCAACTCCTATATTCAATTCTCTGCTGCAAAGTGTTGTGGAGGCTAGATCAATGGGAGTATTTAAAGAGCAAGTAGATTGGTAAAAGATCGAGTGTTCCAAGGAGTTGATGCAGATCAGCTGTAATCTTATCGAATACTAGCACAGGCTCGAGAGGCTGAATGGCCCATTCCTGTCTCTTACACGTATCATTATCATGCGATTAAGGACTGGGAAGGTGGAATAAGTTAAGAAAATATATTAAAAATACTTACGTCTGTGTTTTTCCTGCACAATCTAAACATTATCTGGAAGATAAAAACAAAACCACATTTCAAAGAGTGAATGACTGAGCAGAGGTGACCCTCCGCACCCCTCCCCCAGGAGTCAAATTGGGAGGCAGGACCTGTAATCGGCTTCTCCGCTCTCCATCCGTCTGAAGTTCCAGCAAGTCGTCTATATTCACCTCTTCTGGCATCTGCTCCTCCTGGACAAGGCAGAAGGAGAGATTAGGGCCGGCTATCCTGATCCCATTCCGCCCCCACCCGTCCCACACAAACTCTTGCACTAACACAAACTCACCATGCTGCTGCTCCTGGCTCACCCTCCCGGGATCAGCGGGCTGATCTTATCGCCAAAGGTCAGCAACCTGGGCTTGGGTTTATGGCACGGGGTTTGCTCAGTGGGCTGGATGGCTGGTTTGAATTATAGAATCCCTGCAGTGTGAAAACAGGCCCGACAAGTCCACACCGCCCCTCTGAACAGCATCCCACCCTGACTCATTCCTCTAACCCTGTATTTCCTCATGTCTAACCCAAACATCCCTTGACACTACGGGGCAATTTAACACGGCCAATCCACCCTAACCCAAACATCCCTTGACACTACAGGGCAATTTAGCACGGCCAATCCACCCTAACCTACACATCTTTGGACTGTGGGAGGAAACCAGAGCACCCGGAGGAAACCCACGCAGACACGGGGAGAATGTGCAAACTCCACACAGACAATCACCCGAGGGTGGAATCAAACCTGTGGTCCCTGGCGCCGTGAGGCAGCAGTGCTAACCACTGAGCCACCGTGCCACCGTTTGGGTTGCAGAGTGGCACTGACAGTGTGGTTTCAATTCCCACACCAGCTGAAGTTACCACCTTCTCAACCTCTCTCCCCATGGTGACCCTAAACCACCACAGTCACCCCTCTCTCTCTCTCTCTGATAATGCTCTCTGGGGCCATGCTACCCTTACCCTCACCGCTGGAGTTAATAAGAATGAAAAGGCCTGAGGGAGTTTAACAGGACAGACGGTGAGGAGATGTGGGCACTAACTGGACCAACGTTTGTTGCCCTATCCCCAATTGTGCCTTGAACTGATTGAAATGACCCAGAGGGCAGTTAAGAGTCAACCATATTGCTGTGGGTCTGGAGTCACATGTAGGCCAGACCAGGTAAGGGTGGCAGATTTCCCTCCCTAAATGACATTAGTCAGCCAGAATAAATTTTAGTTTACAACTGTTGACCATAGTTTTTGTGATCACTGACACTCATCTCCAATTCCAGATATTTTACCTGAATTTGAGTTCCACCAGCTCCTGATTGGAACCCATGCCCCAGGCCATTAGGCTCACCTTCTGGATTACTAGCCCATTGACATCTCCCTGGGAGGAGGGGGGACATTTAGAACCGTGGGACACCCTTCCAAAACTGAGGGCTTTCCTATTTAAGATGTAGTTAAGGAGGGTTTTATCCCTCAGAGATTGTGCCTTTTTGGAACATTCTTCCCTAGACAGCAGTGACAGCAAAGTCAGCTCATATTTTTAATCGATAGATTGTAGACTAATGTCGAGTCAAAGGAGTGTTGAGTTGACCCGACAATCAGATAAGCCGTGATCTTATTGGATGGCAGAGTAGGCTTGATGGGCAAAATGGCCTACAGCTAACTAGTCTGCTGGGCTAAGCCAGTCATCGATTTGGTTTGAAAGACTCATGATATTTTCAGATGAGTCAGCCATAAAATCTCATTTATAAAAAAAACTTGAGCAACCAGTCACCCATTTCAGATCCAACATTATCAAACCAAAGAGCCACATCAGAGCCAATGCCACAGTCAGAATGTCAATAAGGCGTTAAGACCTCACCAAAAATTCATGTGTTCTAATCTCCAGTCCATCCAACAAACAACTCCATCATTTAATTCTCATACCAGGTCCCATTTACTCGCGATTCTCCTGAGCTCACACTTGATCTCCATCCAAGTGTTCAAATCTCTCCACAGCTTCACCATCTCAATCATCTCCTCCTGCTCTGCATCTCTCCGATCTCCATACTTCTCCAATTCTGGCCTCTCGCTCTACCTCAATCTAACCACATCCCCACTGGTGCCTGTCCTTCAGTGCCCAAGTCCCTTTGCATTCCCTCTCTCTTCATCTTTCTTACCTCCTTAAAGGAACAGCATATAGTCTTTGACTCTCTCAATTTCTCCTTCTTGAGCTCAATGCCAAAGACTTATTCAATTACACTCCTGTGGATTTTTTCTTATTCAATAACAGGATGTGAGTGTCATATGGCTGAGCCCAACATTTATTGGCCGTCCCTAATTGCCCCTTGAGAAGGTGGGGGTGAGCTGCCTTCTTGAACCGCTGCAGTCCATGTGCTGTGGGTTGACCCACAATGCCCTTAGGGAGGGAATTCCAGAATTTTGACCCAGCGACACCGAAGGAACGGCGATATATTTCAAGTCAGGATGGTGAGTGGCTCAGAGGGAAACTTGCAGGGGGTGGTGTTCCCATGTATCTGCTGCCGTTGTCCTTCTAGATGGAAGTGGTTGTGGGTTTGGAAGGTGCTGCCTGAGGATCTTTGGTGAATTTCTGCAGCGCATCTTGTAGATGGTACACACTGCTGCGACTGAGCGTCGGTGGTGGAGGGAGTGGGATGTTTGTGGATGTGGTGCCAATCAAGCGGGAGCTGCTTTATCCTGGATGGTGTCAAGCTGGAGTGTTGTTGGAGCTGCCCCCATCCAGGGCAAGTGGGGAGTATTCCATCACGCTCCTGACTTGTGCCTTGTAGATGGTGGGACAGGATTTGAAGAGTCAGGAGGGGAGTTACTCGCTGCAGGATTCCCAGCCTCTTGTAGCTATTGTATTTATCTATATGGCTGGTTATGCAAATATAATTAAATTGGCTGTGATTTTTATATCAGATTATCATTCCCAAATCTGCTCTTTGCCAATGTTAAAACTTGACGAGTACATTAACATTAAGTTCTCCCCAAGGCACACAATGTTGTGGAAATAACTGGGATAAACTGGGAACAGATGGGAGAATTTACTTTGTGGTAAGTAAAAGATTTAGATTAATCATGAACATTTCCAGTTATTTCCTAACAAACACAAGACGTGAGAACAAAACAAGGAGAAGCAGCAGTGGAAATAGCTCCTCGCTGAACATAAAGAGCATAATAACTTGCATTCATATAGCACCTAGCACATAGTAAAGCATCTGGAAGAACCCCACAGCAACTATTAAAAATAACTTGGACAATGAACTACATACGGCAATATTAAGGCACATGACCAGGAGCTTGGTGGAAGAGATAGATTTTAAGAAGCATTTTAAACGGAGGAAAAAGGGAAGTGGATAGGTTTAGGACAGGAATTCCAGAACTTGGGGCCCCAGAAACTGAAGATATGGCCCTTTTAAACATAACTGATGTAGAAAATGAATCCAACATTGCATATTAGACTTCTGAATGGACCTCTCAAATTTCAAATTTAATGTTGATCTTGCTTTTTGTACAATTTTGTGTAACTTTGTATAATCAGCCTATGACCTTTATACGTTATGATCTGCCTGTACTGCAAGCAAAACAAAACTTTTCACTGTACCTAGGTACATGATACATAATAAATCAAATCAGAAACCAACACAAGACTAATGATCACAACTTGGGAGCTCAGCTCCTTTTATTATGAAGGTACGGCTCTCGGAGATATACAGAAATTTGGGGAATTGTGACTCAGATTAAAAGGTCAAATCTGAACCATGGGAGACCAGTTAGGGAGGCAATATAGTTGTTGATAATCTCAGCAGTTTGTTCTTGCTGAACTGAAAACGATTGCGGTGAAAATGTTACCAGGGATTCTCCCTCTGCACTCCCTCAACATGTCCATTGAGATCTAGAGTGAAAGTGAACCAAGAGATTCCATGATCACTTTTTAATCAGTCAACACTAGCCCAAGTGACAGGAGGATAATGTACATAGGGATTTAGGGTACAGAAACCTGCCATTCTGTTCAAACAGTCTATACTGGTGCCTCACCTGCAATGTTAAAGGGTTAATATCTGTTCTGCTGACATATAAGAAATTAGGTGCTTCGTGGGCGCCCCTGTCTCGCAGACAAAATGGGGTAATCTAGTTATACTCTGTTCTCTGTAAATGTTGAATTAAGGCTAAAAGGATAAGGAACTACCTCGTCTCACACATTGTTTTTGGGCAGCTAACCTTTGTTTTACTGTTAGATGATTAAGTTACGTGATTATGGGGGAGAAAAAAAAATTGTATCTTGTATGCATGTCTGACTGTGCTGTAAAAACCTATATAAAGGGAGGACGGTTCCCTTACAGAGAGCATCGTTTGACACGACTCCGCAAGCCCTGAGAAGACTGTTAAGTGATCCTCCAAAGCTTGTACTTGCTTATATAAACTGTGGCTATTCACTGAAGTTGGCGTATTGCACTTGTATCAAGTGCGTAGGAATCTCCTAAAAGGGAACTCAACATTTGGTCGCAGCGGTGGGATTCCAACATATACGGATCTTTGAGACGGACTGAATAAGTGATTGCCCGTGTGATGGTGACGTGAGACGGATGGGCCCACAGGGTAAGATTTACCTTGATCTCTCTCATTAACCTATCATTCAGTCGACCCCTCGTCCCCTAGAACTCTGTAGTGACGGAATCTCCGAGATAACCTACGCACTTGTACGCCGACGCGTTTGTCTCAGGGAGGGTTGAGTCCCCCTGGAATTCGGGGGTTAGAGTCCTCCTAACTGTAAGCACCGGGAATTCGGAGGTTAGAGTCCTCCAACACCGGGGTTCGAGTCCCCAGAACGTAGTACCTAAGGTAAAAGATAACTACAGAGTCTGTCTCAACCACCCTGCCTTAGACCGGTTGTTAAGAGGGGAAATCCCCCACGCGAAGATCAGGACCCTGAAGTGGGTGAGGAGACCAAGGACACTGGACTAGTATATAGAGATAAGTAAGAAGTTGAAGCGTTAAAGTGGGACAGACGTTGGATAAGTCGGGTGTCAGAACCCCTCTACATCAGTTACGTCGGGATGACCCCGAGAATGAAGAACGGTTCAGACGTCTGTCGGCATGCCTAAATAAGAAATTGGGAAATGAAATTTGGCCAATAGGGGGAACTCGGTATGTAGATAAATGCATAAAAGCGGAAGAGGCAATTTGGAAACGTAATACGGGGGCAAAA